AGCCTTTCCCTCGTCTGCCAGGCGGGTCACTGGATCCCCGTTGACCCCAATGGTCCTTTTAACCCCAACGGCCCCATTGACCCTAAAGCCTCTATCGACCCCCAACGCCCCCATTGATCCCCGTATGGCCCTACTGACTCCTATATGGCCCCACTAACCTCAATGCCCCCATTGCCCCCCATGTCCCCATTAATCCCCAGTGGTCCCAAATGAGCCCCAATGGCCCCATTGACCCCGAAGTCCCACCCTACAGATGACACGACACCCCAAGGCCACAGTAGGTGGCGCCCTACAGGGACACCACCCCATAACCACCGTGCCGACCCCAATGGTGGCCCAGCTCTGCTGACAGGAGGTCAGGAACACTGTGACCCTGCAACCACCCCGTGACCCCAAAACCACTGCACTGTCATCCCCAATCCTTTGTCACTCCAGATTGTTTTTTCACCGCTGAACTGGTTGTCACCTCTTTTTTGGGGTCGTTTTGGGGCTGGTAAGTGGGATGTGGGGCGAATAAAGGGGACTCCTGGCTGCCCTATGGGGCAAATCAAGTGGGATTTAGGGGAAAAAAAAACAAAACAAAAAAAGGGGGTGGAATTTGTGACTGCCATTGGGGCCATGGGAAAATTTGGGGCCCAACAAGGAGGATTTGGGGTTTCCCATTTGGACTCCAGGGGAAGGTGGCCACCTGGGGCCAGCAGGTGGGATTTGAGGCAAATAGGGGGAATTAGGGGATCCTATTAGAGTCTATGGGGTGATTTTGGGGCAAATTAAGGGGGATTTGGGGCTCCCTCTGGGGTCCATGGGGCCATTTTGGGGCAAAAAAAAGGGATTTTGCCATTTGGGGCCATGTAGACATTTTGGGGCAAAAAGGAGGGATTTGGGACGGCCCTTTGGGGCCATTTTGGGGAAATAAAGGGGATTTGGGGCAAATAAGAGGGATTTGGGGTAGACGGGGATGTAATGATGCCCATAGGGATGATTTGGGGCAAATCTTGGGGAATTTGGGGTTTTGGGGGCTGTTATTTGGGACCCGTGGTTTTGGGACACACAGGGATACTGAGGGGCTGCAATTTGGGGCAAATTATGGGAATTTTGGGGCACATAGGGACAATGCGGGGTCTGAAGGGTTGAAATTTAGGGGAAAATTCGGTTCCTGGGGCCAGTGGGGTCAGTCTGGGGTTTGAATTTGGGGTAAATTATGGGGAATTTGGGGCACAGTCTGGGGGTCCTGGGTCTGGAACTGGGTGGGGGTCCATTATTGGGGTCCCCCCACCCTATTCAATTTGGGGGGCTGGGGTAGAAGATGCCCTCTGGGGACCCTCAGGAGTGCAGTGGGGGGGCAGTGGGACCCCAAA